CAGTCTCCCCTACCCCAATCCAAGCACTGCATCTCTCCATTCTTCTAAATTTTATCAACAGTTAAGAGTTCAAAGCCTTATACTTGAGACCTTAAAGTATCCCGGAGCCGCCCCCTATACCATACAGGCCCCAGAACCAAAGGAGATGGAAGACAGTGTAGCTCACTCCTCAGGGCAGACAACTCTGTTAGAGACCAGGCTGCTGCACCAGCTACAATGACTCTCTTAGCCAAAACCCTACCTTTTCTCAGCAAAGCAATATTCTGTGTGTCTACAGCAGGCCTGTTATGGCCAGGAGAGGCTCTCAAGAAAGGGGACACTCCACCTGCAATTTTTTCTTTTGCTGGAGAGCTGAGAGAAAGGCCTCCAAGAGGCACCTGGAACAAAAGGCTGGATGTGGTCCCCAAACATAGCACCTGCACACCTCAGGGAAAGCTGGAGGTTAGCATGGTGTGCAAGGGGGCAGGGTCCGCCCCAGAGGGCCCTCCTTCACCCCCAGCTATGCATAACACCCGAGGACAAGGGCTCTGGGAAGCTCAGAGCTGCTATCAAAGCTTGGTCTCTGATGGAAAAGACAATGGCAGCCTAGGTTATGCATGAACTGAGTCCTCCACAAAGCCAGGGAGGCATAGCTGCTGCTCACTGGCTAACATCTGAGTTAGGGGACTCTGAACCCTGCCCTTGCTCTTGGGATTTTAAAGGCTTTTTACTAATTCCTGGAAAGAGCCCAAGGGGTAGGTTGGATTGAAATCAATCAGAATTAGGTTTGATTTCAGCAATATGAAACCTCACCCAAGGGCACTGGACAATAAAGACCTTGTTGAAAGCAAACTGCAGGGGATAAAAGTCAAAGGAAAGAAGGAAGAAGGAAAAGCCTGGATGGGAGGAGAGGGATGGAAGAAGCAGCTGTCACAGAAACTGCCCATCCCCAACAGGTGGAAGCCCTGGGAAGCACTAAAGCCACAGAAGTCACACAACTAGGGCAGAGAAATATGACCTCCATTTCAAAACAAGTCATGATCTCTGGAGGAAAGGAAAGCATGTTCATGCCAGGGGAGATGTGTAGTGAAGGAAGGAGGGTCTGCAGCACACGCTGCATCAGACACATTTTCTGTGTCCTTAGCCAGCCCAGCCCATGGAAAACATGCCCCCAAAGGAGTATTTACAATATAGCATCTTAAAGCCGGCATTCTGAGCTTGTGTTCAGGTTTGCAAAGGCACACATCTGTTTCACCCTCACTTTTTCCATATCAATTTTGGTTGTTTTTATGGAATGAAACAACTTTCCAGGAACAGCATGCCACTCTTCACCGGAGTGCCCATGTGAAACACGGAGCAGGGATGACCTGGTCACAGCCCAGAGGATGGGAATGCTTATACTTCCTTCCTCGGTTCTAGACCGACAATCATGGTCTTAGCTTCCTCACAATACAGGCCCCACCCCTCAGAGGCATGGACCATGGCTGGCCTCTAGGTCCCATGTACCCACTACATCCAGTGCAAGGGAGTACTGGGTACTCAAAAGGTGTTAGGCAAACACACAAAGAAATGGACAGAACTCAGACACATGGCAAACCACTCAGACTTGGAAAAGTATGAAAATCTGTCCTAGAAATCATGAAAGCTGAACATGATTTTCCTTCTGCAGCTCTCTGCCTAAGGAAATGAGTGTGAACTGCAAACAAACACCAACAAACATGTACAGGCCACCTGCAATCCTATGGCTGTGATACTGGGAATAAACCCCACTCTTGGCACATCAGCCTTTCTTTCCCACTGACCCACCTTGATATTCCCTCTGCCCTAACTGCTTTATCTGTTTGATCCTGTTGTGATCAGGAAGTAAATGCACAAGTCTGTTAAGATGATAATTCACAGTCTACGACGAGGGTCTATGTTAGCAAGCAGCAGAATTAAAAGGCTTTTCACATTATTCATACTCTCTAACTTCCCAAATGTATTTTAGGAAGAGCTTATGATAATCTACAAAACCACAGTGATGGCAGTGTCATCCACAGGACACCTTAGGAAGAGCCTCCTGTCATTTTCACAAAAGGAAACTGGGAGCTGGAGAGGTCTTCTGTCCAGAGTCATAATGCTGCATAGGTCCCTCTAACTTCTCATACTCACTCACTTCACTCCCCCGTGTGCGAATGGGGAAGAAACCATCATTTGCCATGTGGCAAAAGCTAATGCTTTACTGGAAACTGTAGATTCTGACTGCCCATGGGATTACAGTTGATTATTACAATATTCAACAACTTGATTTTAACTAACACTGGCAATGTTGCTGCTCTGGCTTTGGTGGGTCCTCTGGAATAGGCCCAGGGATGCTCAACCCTGCCCCCATTCTGAGTTAAGTACTGGGTGCCAGAGGTGGGTCCCCACTCTACTGAGGTCTGAGTGCCAACTTTGGTCTGCTGGAAATACTAGAGGAGTGGGATATTTGGCCACTCCTGAGATCTCTGCTCTTCTTTTACAAAACCCACAGGAAACCCAGGGGCAAGGGTGTGAGAGGTGATTCAGCTAGAAGGGGTAGCCCTGCCTCTTTGGGCACCGTGGAAGGAAGGCAAGATGGGTAAAGAGGAGTTAAGAGTTTTAACAGAAAAGGGTGAAGGACAGGGAGATACAGAGGATGGGAGAGATGGGACACATGAATAAACAGATACAGCAAACAAACCCCAGAGGTGGTGACCAACCAGGCAGGGAAGGAAATGCCTCTCACCCACCTCATCATCTGGGTTCACCTTCACACAGCAGGCCCTCAAATATATGCTGGATAAAACTAAAAAGAATGTATCAACAACAGCTTGAGGCTTTGTGGAGCTGGAAACCACGGCACTGAGTGCCTTCTCACTGTTTCCCTACTAGATGGGAGCTAGAGGCAAGGATCCCAGGCAAGAAAAAGGTGCTGTAGCACAAAGAAGGGAGTAGAGCAAAAGTTAACTGACTCCTCTTTCCCCATCTTCCCCTCCTTCCACTGTGCTCCTTCAGGGGGAGGGGAGGGGGTAAACTGCACTGACCCAGGCTGCTCTGTTTAGGTCTCTTGTGCCCCAACGATGGGCAAGAGGGTCCTGAACGGGTGCCCTCCCATAACTGAAAGCACACACCAAAAGTTACCCCAGACTCTCCCTACTATGTCACCATTAGGCAACTGTGCCCAGCAAAGCCAGGCTCAACTGTCAGTCAGGATTAGCCTCCCTGATATGAGACCAAGGCAGAGGTGCACCTGGTACCTGCTGTACCACAGTAAACACGTCTTTCATTCCCTCTTCAAGTCAACCAACAATTCTCAACTACAGGCACTGCCCAAATTTACAGATGGTTTGTGCTACAAGTTCCCTGATAAGCTAGCTGTTTAGAAAAAGAATATTTGCTCAGAGAACCAGTGTCCTGTGTACACTTGAGTCTGTCAATAAAAGCTTTCTAATCCTTTCTGGCTTTGAAATACAGAACCTTGAATGCTGTATCAAAAGAATGAAAGATGCTGCCAGCCAAATTTAACTACCTGGGCTCTAAGAAAATGAATCAAGTCCTCTCTGGAATGCCTGAACGCATCTCCTTCCCCTAACAGGTCAATAACACCCTGACTTTCCCTCAGGGTCCCCTAAGAAGACCCTCCCTTCTGAGGTAAGGGATCTGCTCAGCATGGTGGCTGCAGGCAGTCCTGCAGGGGCTGGGGTTTTGAGAACCCCAAGAGCTAGCCGGCCCTCACAGCCTTCCTTCCATCAGCAGAACTGCTAGGGAGCTGCCGTATCCCTCCTAAGGACATTGCTTATGCCGCCAACCAGGATGCCCTAACACTGTTCTTCCCATATTATCCTGCCCCGCCCCCGCTCAAGTAAAGGTCACCCTGAGGATTCTGACTCACTGGAATACAGTCCATGATTCCCAAGCTGCCTTCTTTTCCCTCTGCCTTTGCTCCCATTTTCCTAGCAGGGAAGGCAGACTGTCTGTAATGGAGTGAGAGACAGAACTCGCACGCTTACTCTGCTGTCCTTCCCCTGAGGACAGTCCTGTCCCCACAGGCTCCACCCCTTGAGCAGCACCCTAAGGTAAAGGAAAAGGCTGCATGTGAAGAGGGTGGAAGAAGGGGACAGGAGGGGACAAAGCAAGCCTGCAGGAGGATGTAAGACAGGACAGTTCTTTTCCTACCTATGCCAGCTCCATACCCATTTAAGCTGGGGACTGGGGATGCAAAGTGCAGTTCTGGCATAAAGGAAGGAAACACAAATCTGCAAGAAAAGACACAAACAAAAAAGGACAAAGTGGAATAAGAGCCACATTAGAAGAACATACACAAGGTGCATATGTGGGAATTCAGAGAGAAAGGAGGCTTTGGGAAGTCAGGGATGCTTCACAGAGAGGAGAGGGGCAAGCCAGGACTGGAAGGCTGCAGCGAAGCACAAGAACAGGATGGCAAGACAGCAGGGTGGGCTCGGGGAGGAACTCACCCCTGGGTGAGTGCAGGGAAAGGGACTGCAGGGTGCAGGGACAGGGCTGGAAGGGTGGTGGGACAGAAAACAAGGGAGAAGTCTACAGAGTGGGCACATCTGTTTTTTTAAACAGGGAGTAGGGCTGTAGCCTGGTAACACCCAGGAAGATGCAAACACTGAAAGACGGCACTAGAGTGGCACACAGAGCAGGGCAGAGGCCAGTAGCCTTGGAGACAGGGAAACCAACTAGGAACCTAGTAGAAGAGTCTAGGCCTGAACTTCAGGAATGGGGTCAGGGAGGGGGTACTGGAGAAAAAACTCGCCCTGCCAGCTGGTGGGATGGAAGGAGCTGAGAGTGAGTCTGTTTCCAGCCTGCACAACTAGGTGGGAAGTGGTGCCACCCACCTAGAGAAGAAACAGTAGCGTTGGGGGAAGACAGGGCAAATGCCACTAGGACACACCTCCCTATACTCCAGTCAGTCCTTCTAAGCAGCCCTAGGTGAATGGCAGTGCTTAATGCTTCATGGGTGCTTCAGCATCCCCAATTTAGTGCTCCAATCTCACCTGCATCCAAAAGTTGTCTGCAGCAAAGTTGTGATTCCCACGCAGAAGAAAATGGTCCCAATGAGCTGGCTGGTGGCCCACTGGTCAAATCCCACACACATGGCATCGGCCAGAAGAAAGGGCACCGCGATGGTGCCGCTGAAGCACGTCAGGTAATGCTATGGGTGACAGGGAGACAGAGGGGAAAAGAATAAACCCTTCTTTGTATTTTTTCTGATTTTACCCTAACTTTGCCCACCCCCCTGTTGTTTTTAAAAAGTTACACACATGAAGAATTTGTTTTTTTAGTTACACACTCTCATCATATGCCAAATCATCTCTGTTTTTTGCATTTCTCCTTTCCATTACATTTTCTTGTCTTATCACTAACTTGTATTATTAATTATTACTTGCATGAATCCAGCAGCACAAAGGAAGTACTCAATACAAACACTGGTAGTGTTTTATTTATATAATTCTTACTGGGAACATTTGCTTTTTTAAAATGCTTTTCAGCATCAATTGCTAAAACCATAGGTCTTTCTCCTCTAATCTGTTAACATGAACCATGTGGCACTGAACCATTCTAGTTAGTCATGCTAGATTTTTCTTCTGGGATTTGATATGCCAATATTTTATGTAGAATTTCACATCTATGTTCTTGAGATAATTCGTCTATTTTTTTTTTTTTTAATTCTTTTAGGTCTGGGGATTAAAGTTACAAGCTTCATTGCACAAAGAGTTTTCCATCTTTTTCTAAGGTCTGGCATTGTTTAACAGCAATCAGGGAAGGGCTAGGGTCACACAGTAGCTGTGGGAATCCTCCAGAAAGAGCCCATCCCACTCTTCCTTTAGGGCCCCTCCCCCATTCCTTGTGGCCCTGGCAGGACATTCCAGCCCTCACTGCTCACCTCCCTTCCTCCCAGAGGCCTGCCTGTTCAGTTCCTACTTCTGTTCTGCAAACTTCCTACGTTTCTTCCTAATAGTTCCCCATCTCTGGTCATGTTTGCCAAAATGTGCTGCTTGCAGCCCATAAAGCCCAACTGTGTAACACTAATAGGTGTTTGGTAAGGAGAAGAGAACATTCTCATCCAGGGCTTCCCAGAGCTGCTCACAAGTTTAAGAGTGCTGTGCACTATCAAGAAGGGCATGATGCATACAGGTTTCCCAATCCTATCTGAACAGGGAGGACTACTTCTAGAAACATCTATAATATAAACATTTCAAAAAACGAGTTTCTTAAATCTGATTCCAGATACTCAGCCCTAGGGAAATTATTTGCCAAGACCAGTCAGCTCCTTTGGTTATGTCTTCTTTATTAGATGCCTTTCTGTCCAGGTTACCAAGTGCTTTGATACCTAAGGTTGGAGGGGCCTGGAAACTGGACCAAAGCATCAGCTCTCATCAGGTACAGTTCACCTCCAAGTGAATAAACCTCTCTGGGTAATGGGACTGATTTTCTCAGCATGAACTGATCATTCAAACTTAAAGAACAGAAAGTGAAACCTCAAAACCAAGGCAAACACAGGCCAGGGGTATCTGTCTGGACAAAGAGCCTTCCATGTCATCCCCTTTCTCCTAAAGCCCCACTTCAATCGTACGTGGGAAAAGGGAGTGGTGGTTGGGGAGGGGAGAGTGGGTACCAAAGATTCAGGAGTCCTGCATCAGCTTGTGTCACCTCTCGCCCTATCCCCCCACCCCTCCCCTGGCAGCTTCCCTGCTCTGCTCCCACTGGAAATTGCAGCAGACAAAGCAGACACCACCAAGGCGAAGTTTGCCTTCCTTTAAAAATAAGATTGAAGCCTCCACATTTATGCCCTGACCAACACAGCACTTCTCAGTGTCACCCATATTTCATGGCAGAACTGACGGTGACTGTGGTTGGTTAACTAGGAATGAGAGATGAACACTAACCCTTCTTTTCTCTATTCTTCTACCTTTATCTTCCCTCTATTCTCCCCTTTCCACACATCTATGATCTTTTTTCCTTACTTCCATGTCATTTCTCTTGCTTATTCCCTGAACATTTTCCTTCTTTCATTCCATGATTAACCTACTCCTCCTGTTTTCCTCCTTTCACTATTATGAAGTTCATGTTAACAATTCCCATTCATCATTCTTAAAAGAGTAATTTATATTAAAGTTGTCAATAAATAAAAAATAAAAATTGAATTTTAAATAATCCAGACAGACAATTCAAGCATCTGCTGGTGGTTATATTCCAAAGGAATCATCTTACCTGCAACCCCAGAAATATACACAGGTACCAGGGAGGAACATCTTCTATGGTGTAAATCATGTCCGATCTCTGGGGGTCAAGACTGCCTGTGCTATCCAAGGTCTCAGCAAGAGAGCTCTGTGAACGAGAGGGAGAAAACAAGTTGTTTAATGGAAGCAAGGACTAAAGTTAACTCAGCACAGGCTACTGTTACTGAAAAACAACTTTATAAAGTGTCTGTTGCTCTCCTGTAAAATTAAGCCTTGGTCACCTCTGACACAGTGTCAAGCACACTCACTTGGTGGGACAGTCTGCCCTCAGGATTTGGGGCTTCAGCATTCCTTCCATCAACTCACACCCAAGAGCACCCAACTTGCTCAGAGCTTCTCCCCAAGACTGAGCACCCACTGCATGGAGAGGGTTGCTCCCAAGGTAATTACCTTGGACCACAAAGTAGTACCTTGGCATGAGCTGCCTTGGGTGGTAACCCTAATGAAGCAATGTTACAAAATGCTAACCACTTTCCAACAGAGAGCACTAATCTGTCCCTCCTACCCCATTCCATCCCTACAAGGAAAAAGACTTCTGTACCTAAACACCCTTCTTTTAAAACACTGCTGCTCAGATATAATGGTGAGTGAAGAGAGCAAAGGTATACAGATATGATGATTCAAATTTTGTTTAAAAAAACAGACTAAAAATGTATTTATAATTTAGGGGACTTTTTTTTTCTTTTCCCCTCACCATTACTAAAGATTTTTTAAAAATGTTAAGCCTTGCATCCTTTATAAGCCAGAATCTTTACAAAGACCAGACACTTGAGGTTATAGTCTAGACATTTCCAGTCAGCTTCAGCTTCAGCATCACTTCTGAACTCATCCAGTATCTGAGCCAAACTGAAGACTCGGGGGTTCCCCCATATACCCTTAATACTGCTATAGTTTCTAAAACCCTACAAACAATTTCTTGAAATCCAAGATGTGCAGTTTTTTTTTTAGTTTTTTAATAATATAAAGTGCCTAAGAGGAAATCAAATTAAAAGATGTGTCACAAAAAAGATAAAGATGATAACATTCTGATCCTTGGCCACACCTAGCCCAATTTGTACCCCCTTTCCAATGGATTTGATCCACAGAAAGATGCTCACTCCTTATGTTTATCACTCCATTTTTCATGCACAGGGATTTGGGGGCCAAATGCTCTTGAACGAAAGAAGTGACACAATTCAGCCTTACCTTCTAAAGCCTAAAGGTAAATATCTGACGTAAATTGACATTTTATCTAATCCAAATGTGAATTGAATACGACCTTTCAGAAAGAACTTTTTCTTCCATTCAAACAATGGATGCTGGCAGATCTGCATTATAAAATGGGTTTAAACCTATTATATGTGTCGTTTAAACTTTGTTTGTAGCGGTGGTAGAGAAAGTACACATGGTGAGGAACTTGATATGTGGTGATGCACAGTAAAGGATTAACTCAGCAGGTCTGGGTTGTCCAAACCCTGCACATTTCAAAGAGAAGTTTGGCCCTTGCCTGCCACCTGGAAGATAACCTCTGTGCTCTTGGAATATCCTGCCTCTTAAGAGTGTATCTGTTTACCTGAATGAAGCCTTGAGCTGCTCTTCATAGATTATGCTAACAATGCAACTGATGATGGGGCCTTCGGCCACATGGTATCAGTTTGACTCCAGAGGGTCTGGCAACACTCCTTCAGTGTTGTCACACTTTGTTTCGGGGGAAATTAAGCACTGCTTACATGACTCCACTAAGAAGAGGACAACCGAAAGCTTGTTCTGTGTATCCTAGACCTTGCCCTACATGTTTTTTTCCATTGATCTTAATCTGACCCTTTCTCTCAAATAGGCTGTAACCAGGAGTGTAATAGCTTTTCTGAATTCTGAGTCCTCCTAGCAAATCACTGAACCTGATTTGGGACTCCCAAATCAGTCTTGGAAATCCCTGAACTAAGTTGACCATTTGCTGACATGATGCAACTATGGATACTGGACTCACTATAAAAAGGACAATTCAACACTACCATATTACCTACAGATGGGGAATGTTACTCCTCACAAAGTAACAAAAAGAAATGTCTGAAAACAGAGTATAGTAACACTATAATTACTAGATTAGTACAATCTGTTACAATAATATTATATGCATTATTATTCTAATGATGCCAAAATGACTAGTTTTAACTATAAAACAGATGAACAGAAATGAAAAGACTGCATCTGTCCTCTTTCAGGCCTGGAAGGCTAAGATTAAGAGGTGTACACAAACATATACATATACTGTACACACACAATTTTTCTTAGTAATGAGGGTGGTTCTACAACTCAGAAATGGAACTAATGTAAAATGTCCACAAATGGTATTAAGAAAAAGTAGGGAATTGTGTGGTCAACGGGATCAGTGAACCCTGTCAGAAAAATGCTGCACCACCCTTCCCAGAGACAGAAGGAGTGTGTTTGGTCACTGTGGACCCTGGTACCACATTCTGTTATCACTGCATGAACAATATGAACTCTCTTAAAACTGCAAAACAAAAAGCTCCAACAGTGAGGTTTCTTTAAAAGGTGACTACATTAATAATTTGATGATGTCATCTTGAATAGCCTTTTCCATATTATTCTATGGTCTAAGATAATCTAAAGAAAAAGGAAATTACCTGTTCTTCAAAGATTAGTGAACTCAGAATTCAGTTCTCTTGTTGGAGACTTCTTAAAAGATCGTTAATAACCTTTCCAATCTCTCCTATGGTTATTCATCTACTCTAGCACTTTTAAGTCACTTGTTGCCTTTTTCTCTAGGAAATAATTTCCTCTACAGCAGGAGTCAGCAAACTCTTTCTATAAAGGGCTACACAGTAAATATTTTAGGCCTTGTGGGCCATATGGTTCTGTCACAAATACTCAACTCTGCTATTATAGTGCAAAAGAACATTAGACAATACGTAAACAAATGAGTTATAGCTGTGTTCCAATAAAACTTTATTTACAGAAACAAGTGTTGGGTCAGATTTGGTTTGCAGGATGTAGCTTGCCAACCCTGCTATAGGGTTTCAAACTGATTATCATAAAGTTGTAGTTAATATTCTCTTATACACGTTTCTTATATTTCCTTTCACATTGTTAATAAGCATTAGTGCTTTCTCATCTTTTACCTTAATCAGGTCCGCCAAAGATCAATGTCACTGGTCTTTTCAATAACCAGTTATTGAGTTCTAGTAAAACATGGTTGATTGACCACATCTGTCATTTCCTCTAACTCCTAAAAACACTGAGAAAGAATAAATATGACACAAATCTACAAGGACAAAGAAAAAAGTAGAAAGAGAAATGAGAATAACATATTTTGGAATATGCAAAGCATTTGTATGAGCTGTGACCCATTTAGGAGAGGGAAGGAACCTAAAACATTGGTGTCTGGAGAGGGAAGGTATAAAGAAGCAAGTTGGTTGACCAACAGAAGCCCAGAAAGGTTCTATGCTTGGAGGCACAAGACAGAGTAGGGATGGAAAGAAGATGGGATTTAACTGCGAACTGATCAGACACCCTGTTGCCTACTACTGTCTTCATCCTACAAGACACAAAAATGTATTGTTTGAAGAATACAAATCAGAAACACCTCAGACTGAAGAATGCTATGTGGGGTTAAATGCAAGCATGAACAGCGGGATCCTCATCTGCTTCCAAATGCGAGAAGCCAGGTTATATACCCACAGGAGGAGACTAGAGGATTTCTTTCTAGAGGAATTGATCAGCCTCAGAGACAAGACACTGCCATCTCTAGACCCTACAGTGACAAGACAGCTTTCCCTATTCAGTGGAAAGGCCCACCAGTAGACAAACTTCATCCACACACAATGACCATACAGTCATATTTTTCATTGCCTCACATTCCTCCAAAACTAAGAGCCAAATAAACAGAGGAAATAGGGTCCACGTAGTAGCAAGAAAACATATTGGGGGTGGGGGGGGAAGAAACCTGTGCCTTCACAAAAATAAAAATATTTTGAACCTGGGAGGAGAGCATTGCCGTTTTAAAAGCTTTAATTAGCAAATAAAAACAAACAAACAAGAAACAGGAAAAGAGATCTTAGAAACTAAAAACAAAATAGGAAAAAAAATTCAATAAAAGGGTTGAAAGTCAAATATATGTGCTCAAAATAACAAAAAGACAAATATGGGGACTTCCCCGGTGGTCCAGTGGTAAAGAATCTGCCTTCCAATGCAGGGAACATGGGTTCAATCCCTGGTCGGGGAACTAAGATCCCACACGCAGCGGGGCAACCAGGCCTGCGTACCACAGCTACAGAGCCCATACACTCTGGAGCCTGCACGCCACAACTACAGAGCCCATGCACTCTGGAGCCTGTGCACCACAACTAGAGAGAGAAAACCCACACACCACAACTGAAGAGAAGCCCGTGCACTGCAATGAAGAGCCTGTGTGCCACAATGAAAGATCCTACATGCTGCAACTAAGACCTGATGCGGCCAAAAATAAAATAAATAAATATTTAGGGGAGGGGGAGGAAAAAAAGTCATGCCAGCATGACAGAAGCAACCAGCCTGTGATGCCCCATCCCAAATCTTTGAACATAATAAAAACGTTGTCTAAAAAAAAAAAAAGACAAGAAATAATAACAATTTTTATGGAAGAAAACAGGATATAGGAATCAAAGAAATAAGAAAATTTCCAAGAACTAAAGGATATGCCTACAAATTAGAAAGATGCACTAAGTACTCAATAAATTAATGAAAAAGGATTCAGATATTTTGAAAACTCAATAAAACAAGCAACTGTATTAAAAAAATTAAGAACAAAGGGAAATAAAACGTGAGTTGAAAGACTCTGGACAAAAGGGGCAAAAATAGAAAGATGCAAGTGGTAGGAGCACAAGAGGGAAGAGATAACATGAAAAAAATGTAAGAGAAAAAAAGATTAGAGAGAAGTGATAAAGAAGGCAGACAAAGGAGATCCAAAATATGCATAATTGGAGCCCCCAAATAAGGAAACCAAAAGAAGAGACTGGAACAAAAAATAAAGATATAATTCAAGAAAACACTCCTGAAGTAGCCTTGAAGCTAAATATTGAAAGTGCCAGGAAAAACTGACCCAGGTCAGCA